CCGCCTCGGCGATCGACTTCGAGTTTCGAGTGCAGCGGAGGCCTCCTCGTGGTGTCGGATGCGTCCAGGCAGAGTTGGACGCACGAAATGGCGGTGGCGCTGCAGCCTTTGACCTTGGCGGTCGGAAAACAACGGGATAAAGGGAATTAGATCATTACCGAACCGGTCAGCCTGGCCGAGCCATGCGATCTGGCGTGGCGTGCCGCGCGGCGTGGAGTCCCGCCTTGCGTGCACAGTGCCTCACGGCGTTGCGACTCAGAACACTGTTAGACAAAGGAGCGGTCGACAGTCTCCATCGGTGAGTGAGGAATGAAGCTGACGCGGTCAATTCGGAACACCGTTACACCCGGGCAACAATGCATAAACTTCCACCTTTTTCGCGTATGCCAAAAAAATAACAAGAAACTAGCCAAACCTGGACCAATTTACTTCTGCCATCACCCAATTAGCATATAAAACTATCTCCTCTCTCTCCGAGCTGTCCACGCTTCTCCGTCAGACTCACTGACCGCCTCCGGGGCGTTGGCCAGGCGCTGCCCAGGCGTTGCCCTGGTGTTGCCTGTCCACATTATGTCGCAGAATCTATCAGAGTCGAAAGGCCTGACGACCTAATCACCCGGGCGGGGCTCCGCACAAGCGATGCGTCATCTCCCGGCGGGAGGACCGTTCTGGCCGACTTGTGGGTCACGGGGAATGTTTACACATTTCTGACCGTTCTGACCAATGCGTCAAATGGACCATTGCCACAACATTAATGTTGGCAAGACTGCAAGTGATGGCGGGTAAAATGAATGCTACAAGAAGCATCAAATAACACAACATTTGTAGATATTTTTATTCTCTGTCCACAAAAAATAGCGAGTGAGTGCCCCTTTTGCTTAGTTATGTGGCAACTTGAAAACAATGAAGAACGAAATATGAAACACGCCTTTCGACTGATCGACGTGTCCTCTACTCGACGCAGATTGCCGCCGATAGCTCTCGATTTCGCGCGCCCAGTCTGGCTGAGTCACAGCGACACCGTCGGCGAGACAAAAATTTCGTCACGTTGGTCAGAGTGCGTACGGACACGGGCCACGCGGGACTGGGTGGCAGTGGCGCGGACCGTGCGGGGGAGTGCTGCCCTGCTAGTCATACCATCGGGCACCGCACGGCGCCGCACGGAGCAGCCTTTTTGGCGGACAAAGACCATTGGGAAACACTTCTCAGTTCCATCGCAGCTTCACGGCGGCTTCGCGGCGGCTAGGACCCGGGCCGGCCGCCGAGGCGCGCGGTTCGATCGGATGGAGTGTCCGACTGGCTCGAATGTAAAATGGCCCAGTTTATGGCTCCAGGGTCAAGTCAACTCCACGCGCCATGATAAGTGTATCGCGTATCGCTCAAGGAATCGGGCCCTGCCGGCCTGTGGCCTGTGGCCGGGCGGTCTGTCAAACCGGTGCAGGGCGTCCACATTCCACGTTGTCAACGCTTTTCGCTCAAAGCGTGCACCCAAAGAAGATGCACGCCGCTTTCTGAGTTTTGCCCTTTTGTCTCATCATATTAATGGAACTTTTTAGTCTTAACCTCTCAATCCTTTAAATATTTTAAATATTTTTGTCCTAGATAGACACATTACTATGCAGGTCGATGCTTCCCTGGGCTGATACCGGACTGCACAGTGGCAATCATCCGGCGCATTATTTATGGCCCGTCCGCTAACAACTCATTGGGGAGCCGCTGCCCCGAAAAGACGAATGCCCCGAACGTCCGAGTCAACACTTCGGACGACGAGGCCGTGTCGGCGACGTGTCAGGCGTGTCAGCCATTCCGGCCGGCCGGCGGGTCGCGTCGGGTCCCTAGGAGTGATTCCAAGCAGCACTCTGTCTCCCTCGCGCGCGCGCGGAGAGCGGCGTGAGTGCGGGAGAGACAGAGCGGTGGCGGGATGAGTGATTACCGTAGGGCGGCGCCTGCTCCACGCAGCCTAGCGCCCCGCGGTGGCGGGCCTGGTGGGCCTGGCGGGCCTAGCGGTGGGCCGTCTGGTGGGCCTGGTGGGCGTCCATCTCGTCACTCTCGATTAGTGTCGGGACTTGACGCGCGCGGTCGTTTAAACACTCATGTTCGAAACCATCGCGTTGCAGTGCACTGCGCATGCGCGCGGCGGCGGCGTGACCAGCGGAATCAGGAATTCCCTCCACAAAGGCGGAGCCAGGTCGACTTTAGGGCCTCGCCGTCCTCGGGGACCCGGGGCTAGCAGTGGCGGCTCCAGACAGGGCCGGGCCGCCGGGCCGGGCACGCATTCTGACCTTGCCCCTGATCAAACAAAACCGCGTGTGCAGGCTGCTGCGCCGGGCTGCGCCGGCCGGGCCCCGGATTCCGGACGGAGCGGAAACAAAGCTGGACGGAGGAGTGGGCGGATGCCGACGTCCTTTGGCCCGCAGCAGCAGCGCCGCGGCAGGGCCAACTAGAACAAGCGCCGAATGGCTCGGCCGGCTGTCCTGGTGATAATTAAATACCCGAACCGCCTCGGGCTCGGCATAAAGCGCCCGTTTTAATGCCTAGTCGGGATTATTTCGTGAGGACTGGACAAATACGGCCTTCCGCGTCGCGGCTTTTAATTCGACTGACAAGGGAGAGACTTCGGCTACCGAAAATCAACTACTAGAAAGTCCTCACACGCTTAATCAGCAGAAGTGTTCACCTTGACCGTGGCGCGAAATTAATTGCGCGTGGGTTCGAGAATGCACTCACACACTGCATCGACAAAACAGCGACTTGTCCCAGACGGATTTTTTTTCCTTCCCGCTCCGTGGCGAATTCTTGTCCCGTGTACACTAATTACACTGACCCGTGACCTTGCTCCGAGGGCAGGGCAGGGCACGCCACGCCACGCACTGAGTCAACAGCACCTCCAGAATCCGTTGGCCACCTGCTGCCCGGTAACTACGGCAACGTCGTTACAGTTGGTAAAACTGTTGGAATCAATTACCGGCGGGGGAGAGGGGGGGGGCGATTTGCAGAGTAAACATTGCGTGCCTCCATTACTGCTACATGGGGTCCTTGAGCACCTCTGCGAGGACTCCCGCCGAGGACTCCCGCGAGGACTCTGCGAGGTGTCCGGGAGGACGTCATCGGCCGGCTCAAGTATTTAGTCTGTTCGGCGCGCGCACGACGGCGGTTGCACGAGCCGGCTTTAGTAAGACCGTCGTTCGTTATCCTGGACAAATAAGGCCGAGATGCGCGGCAGAGTCGGTGCAGCCAGATGCTGTTTCGTCACGGGGTGGCGGCGGTCCAAGATTTTGGCCGCGCATTTTTACCCCCTCCCACGTGTCTGGCCATTATCTCGAGCGACCCGCATCGAAGTGAGATATCCCCCCCCTCCCTCCCCTCACGCGCACCGCTGCATTTTCATTTTCATGTTGCTCCCTTTTCGGCCAAATCAAGCCCCAATGTCTTATTCGGCCGGGGCGTTGCTGGACTGTCTGCACCGCGGCGGGCCGACCGGCCGGGATGAATGTTATCGCTACCGGATCTGGACCTTTCAAGTTCAGCGGGCCGCGCGGGGAGGGGGGGGGGGTGCCCGCCCGTGTGCAGCACCCAGCAGGGCACGCGCGTCGGGCAGCGCGCCTCCAGCGACAAGCGTGTTTTTCACACAAATGGATTTGTCGGGGGAGGGGGAGGTGGCGCGCCATGGCGGGGCGGCGGGGCGGCACAGGGACACGGCACACGTACGTGGTGGGTCCGGTGGGTCCGGTGGGTCCGGTGGGCAAGGCGGTGGAAGGCGGGCAGGCCGGACAGAGGACGCCCACCCCCTCCCCCTTTTCGACTCCGCCCTACTTCTACTTCCCCGCCGAGGGCGCCCACCCCAACACCGCCAACACCGCCCCTCCCCCGGTGGGCTCCAGCAGCCTCCAGCAGCGCTTCCAGGGCGGGGCGGGGCACGGTGGGGCAGGACCGGGCCGACGCTATAAAAGCCGAGCGGCCTGGAGGGGCCGGCCACATTTGGACGCACCGTCCCGGCCTTTGCAGACTTTGGATTACCCCTCGACGCCTCCAGGTGAGGGGACAGTGCGGCTTACCAGTGGATTACCAACAAGTGCCTCTGTGTGTGTGTGTGCTCGTGTGCGAATGTGTGTGACGGCAACCAGTGCAGTGCTAAAGCCAGTGCAAAAACAGTCGCGGTGTGCATATTTTTTCGTGTCTTCTGCAAGTCAATCGGAGCGTATTGAACTAAGTTATCATCAAGAATAGTTTATAGAGGTTCGCCTGAAACGGTTTCTTTTTTACAAATGCAAAATTTCTAGATTTTTATTTTGCGGTTCAAACCAAACTAGGGATGGTTGAAGACAAATACTGAGACCGTTATTATTACGTAGTGCCATGAGACTTAAATTAAGTATGAGATAGGAAAACTGTAACTGTGATGCACGATTTATTTCGTCGACACTCCCAACGCGTTGCCATTTACGTGCCTTACAAAAAGTGACACCACTCGTCTGCGTTTTCGAGCGAAACGCGTCCTTGAGTCCTTGCATCCTCACACCGCATTGCCCGCCATGCAAATCGTCGACGTGCATCGCGCGACACGACGGCGACCTTTCGGCGCGTCGGCCTCAGACCGACACGGCGGCGCGGCCATCATCGCGTTTCACGCCGGCGACGACGTGCAGACGGACACCCACGTGGCTGCCACGCGTGGGACCCTTTAATTTCGGTTGAATTGTGGCGGGTTCGCGCGATCGGCGTCGGCGACCGCCACGTGGATCCTCGCAGTGTGCTCATGCTCGTCGTGTGTTGGCAGCCATGAAGGCGGCCATGCTGGTGATGGCTGCGCTGCAGCTGCAGGCCGTGCTCGGAGGCCACTTCTCCGTGCGCATGCCCTTCACGAACCCCGCGGGCGTCACCTACCTGGAGGGACCCGCCCCCGCGGGCCTCGCCGCCGGCCCCGTCGCCTACACCGCCCCCGCAGCCTACGCCGCCCCCGCTGCCTACGCCGCCCCCGCTGCCTACGCCGCCCCCGCTGCCTACGCCGCCCCCGCTGCGTACGCCGCCCCCGTCGCGCACGGTAAGCGTTAGTCGAAACGCGCATGAACTGCATAAAATTACTTTATTTTTGTGACTTGTCTGTAACGTATGACGGCCTGTTCCAGGTGTGTACGCCGCCCAGGCTGTGGCCCCGGTGGCTTACGCCGCCCCCCACGTCAAGACCGCCTCCGTGGGCTACGCCGCCGTGCCCACGGTCCACCACGTGCCCGCCGTCCAGGACGTGCCCTACACCCGTCTGGAGGCCACCGCCGGCGTCGTGCAGAAGCTGGTCGACGTCGCCAAGCCCGCCGTCGCCACCCGCCGCTTCCAGGTACAGCAGCCGCCACCCGGCAACATTAAGATATGCTTGCAAAACTCGGACTTTCCTCAAAACCAGTGAACGATCACAACGGTTCTTTGAACACCCGCCCGTCGTTTCGTGCCCAGATTCGTCGCCCTGCTATCCAGAAGCAGTTCTACGACATCGAGGAGCGCGTGGTGGTCCGTCCCGCTGGCTCCGCCCTGGTGGAGCTCGACCAGCCCCTGTCCAAGACCCAGAAGGGCGAGACCGTCGTCTCCGCCGCCGCCCCCGTCCTCGCCCACGCCAAGGTCAGTGTCTTGACCCGTCACGAAGCTGCAGCAGCTAAACGAGACAGTTTTAAAACCAATTTATTGCGAGTTTTAACCGAATCCGTTTGGAAGCGTGAGGGCTTGGTCGTGGCCTTGGCCCCGTTCGCCTGGCCATTTAGCAGTTTTCGCGATCCGGCAATGAACTCTGGGACTGGGGTCACGAGTTAATGACGTTGCGAAACAGGTGCTGGCCCCCGCCGTCGCCGCCTACCCCGCCTACCCCGCGTACCACGGCTACCCCACCCTGGCCGCCGCCCCCATCGTCGCCGCCCCCGTCCAGCAGTACCCCGTGCAGCAGTACCCCGGCCAGGAGGCCCAGGCCGAGCCCCAGCAGCCCGAGCAGGCTGAGCAGCAGCCCCAGGAGCAGCAGCCTCAGGAGCAGCCCCAGCTTGACCAGCCCCAGGAACAGCAGCCCCAGGAACAGCCCCAGGAGCAGCCCCAGCAGCAGTTCGAGCAGCAGCCCCAGCAGGACGACCAGTCCCAGCAGGACGACAGCATTGAGGTATTCAACGACTTCACACTGCAGTCGCTGTTACTCTGTTCACTGGAAGACGACGCTGACTTACCTGAACCACTCCTGCAGGTGTCCAACCCCGAGATCGTCGCCGCTCGCTCTGCCGCCCCCGCCCAGCAGCAGCCCGCCGCCGCCGCCCCCGCCCCCCAGGCCCGCGCCATCCCCACCCCCGAGGACCTCCTCCGCCAGTTCGGCTCCTCCCCCGCGCTGAGGCAGCTGCAGGCTGAGGGCGAGGCCCTGGAGGCCCAGCGCCAGCAGCTGCAGGCCCGCATGGCGCAGCTCGTGCAGCAGCAGCAGCAGCAGAGGCAGGACGCCGAGAACCTGGCCGCGCGCCAGCGCCACCTCGCGCAGGCCCACGCCAGCCAGCCCATCGGCCAGACCGAGGCCCGCTTCGCGTCCGCGTCCGCCCCCACCCCCGCCGGCCGCGCCCTCGCCGCCGCCGCCGCCGCCCCTGCCCCCGCCAGCCCGCCCCCGTCGTCGAGTCCCGCTCCCTGGGCCTGCCCGCCTCCATCGAGAGCCTCATCCCCGCCCCCGCGCCCCGCTCCGCCGCCGACGTGGTGCCCTCCCTGCGCAACCTGAGCCCCGAGCAGAGCCAGCAGAACCAGCAGCGTCTCATCGAGCTGCTCACCGCCCAGGTAGGCCGGGTTCACGCCCCGCGGGACCAGGACGGGAGCCCCTTGGCTAAAGGCCGTCCCCTATTCTAACGACTCCATCCCGGTCCCTCCCCGAGTCCCACTCCAGAGCGCCGACTCTCAAACACGGCTCCCTCTAGGTGCAACACGAATTCCTCCTGCTCCAGGGTGGCGTTGCTGAGGTCGGCTCCGCCCGCTCCGGCCCCGCGTCCGCCTCCGTCGGCGACTCCGGCCAGGTCCGCGCGCGCGTGCTGTCCGCCACGCCCGCCCCCGAGCACGCCGAGCCCACCAACGAGCGCGTGCAGACCCGCCGCGTCGTCGTGTCCAGGCCCATCGAGACCCTGCAGGAGGTGAGTGGAGAGCGTTTCGTCGCTCTGTCTCTCTAGCACCAGCGCGCACCAGTGCGAGACGCCGCTTGAGTGTGAGAGAGACAGGGCGACGCAACCACTTCGGAGTCAGGCTTCAGCGCGCCTGCCAGGTAGGCCAGCAGCAGCATCGAACGCACAGCGGTGCAAAGTGTTGCCTACGCGGCAGGCGCCCGCTTCTTCTGCCCGCCTGAACTGACTCGTTCTGACCCCCACCGCTCTCCGTTCCAGATCGACGTCGTGGAGCCCTTCACCAAGATCCACCGCCTGGCCGTGAACCAGCCCGCCGTCTTCAAGACGGCCGTGCAGGACGTCGCGCGCGTGCACACCTCCGTGCCCGTGTACGGCAAGGCCCTCACCCCCTACACCGTGTACCACAAATAAGTCCTCCCCCGAGCCAAACATTGTACTGCCCCTTCCAAGACCGGGGCACGGGGCCGGCCCACAGCCTCGCCACTTTGAGCCACCCCAGTCAGAGACACGGCCCAAGGCGACGTCGAATCTGTAGCCTGGACTCGACGTGACCTTGGGCGACCTGTTCGTTCCTCACTGACGTGCTGCCTCTCGACCCTCTCGGCCAGTAAGGCACCACCAGCCTGCGCCCCGGTCTCATCTGTGATTCGCCATTCGCGGGAGCCACTCGAATTTTGCTCAAATTGTCGCGACCTCTGTCCCGCAGCCAGGCACAATGCACGCCTGCAACCTTCTCGTCATCCTCAAACGACACGCCCACATTTTAAGCGCTGTGGAGCGTCGCCATTGTCCTTTCACGAATCTCAGAGACTCGAGACAGTGGTTTCCATTCAGTTGTAAGGGGTTCCATTTTCATCTAATTTATTTTTCTATGACACCATTGTGTTGTTTTTGTGTGTGTTTTTTTTGTCATAAAGAATCATTTTCGAAACATTTGCTGTGTATACAGAATCAAAGCTGTAGTCAGCAAGAGACGTCATTCATTTTTTTCATGTTTTATCGTATGTGTCAAAGTGTATTTATTTGTTCACGACACCATTTGAGAGCGTTTAGTTGTATAAATTATTATTTAGGAATGCTACTTTTTGTAATGCAACCCAAGTTACCATGCCATATGACCAAGTGACTGATCCAGAGTTACCTCTATGAAGTATAGTTGCCTGTATATCAGACTTCCAAAACTTCGAAAAAATGAATAAAAATGATAAAAATATCTGTGCTTTGCAATTATTGAACCTGCCCTTATCAAACACGCTCAGCGCAAAATTCTCGATAGTCGTGGACATGGCAAAAGTTGCCGAAGACCGATGACTTGCAAACAAATCTATTTTCTTCGTCGTGTGTCGACATTCGTGCCGAGTCACGCTTCAAAGCATAAACTGTGGCCCGGGCGGCTGTGGGTCGGGGAGTCTGGACGGTCGGGTCGGGACGCGGCGGAGAGCATTCGCGAGTCGCTGGTCACCAGTAAACGGTGGGTCCGTCCGTCTGTCCGTCTGACTAGCTGTCTAGCCGGGCCGCGGCGGCAACACGCAACGCGCTGCGAGCACAAAAGCCATGCCAAAGCGGGCCAGCCCCTTCCCCCTTCCACCGCGGTCTCGGCTGGTCTAGGCTGCCGGCCGGCCGGCAGTGCTGCCGCCCGTAGCGCCCGACTGTACTAAACAGCAGTAGTGCCGGCTGTGGACTGTACTGTACTTCAATCAACGGAGCGCCCAGGCAGCAGCCAGGCAGGCAGCCAGCTAGCGCCGAGCCTGGCCGAGCCCGCCCGCCCAGCCCGCCCAGCCGGCCCATCCCAAAACAGCGGAGCGGCAGAGCAGACGCCACTCGCAAACGGGCCGGCGGAAGGACCACAGCGTTCGGTGTTTCCCGTAGACCAAGTAGCTCCGAAATATTCAAACAGGTTAGTGACACAGAGACGCGGTGCAAGAGCGAGCCGCGACCAGAACGCTGTCATGAATGAATCGGTGATGCAGGAACTCAATCCGCGCGCTCGGAGTCCTCCCTGTTGCTCTCTGTTTACTACTGTACCCTCCCCTCGCAGGCACCATGGCCCCCATCGTGTACGTGGACTGCATGTCGCCCTGCTCGCAGTCTGTGGCGCTGCTGCAGCGCGCCGTGCCCGGCCTGGAGGCCGTCACGCTGACCAACGTCAAGCTGGCCGACGGGGACTGCATGAAGCCGGAGTTCGTGAAGGTGAGTTACGCAACCGAGCGCAGGTGGGCGAGTGGGCTTCAGTTGCTAGCCTGGAAGATTTCTTGTTGAAGCCGTGTCTTTTTCCCTAGTTCAGCTTGCGCGTGTCGCAGGGTGGCTACCTTTCAGGCGGTGAAGTAACTTCGTTTCTGTTTCAGAAATTCCCCATGCATGCCGTTCCAGCACTCGAAGATGATGGATTTTACCTATGGGAGAGGTAATACAGGTCACTTGCCGCGAGTCTCGTTTTGTCGTTGTGTTTTACCGCGTTTGTTACCTCTGTAATTATTATGTTCCGCCAGTCACGCCATCTGCCCGTACCTGATGGCGGCGTACGCCAAGGACGACAAGCTGTACCCCAAAAACGACCACAAGAAGCGCGCCAAAGTGGACCAGTGGCTGCACTTCTCCAACAGCATCCTCTACGTCCGACTCCGTGACATGTCCGTACGTATCACTTTTAGAAAAGCGTGAGAAAGTAGGTTTAATTTAATGACATTTAAATTGATTTAAAAATTGTTTTTCTTCAGGAGCCGATCTGGCGGCAGCAGACGAAGACCGTCCCCGACGCCAAGAAGGAGCGTGTGGCCGCGGCGCTGACGGACATGGAGACCATGATGGGCAACAACAAGTGGCTGTGCGGCGACGAGATGACACTGGCCGACATCTGCGCCGTCTGCGAAGTCAACGCCTCCACGGTACGCGGCTACGCGGCGCGCGCGGGTTTCGGGGGCGTGGGGGTGTGGCGCCGAGGGGGCGGGGCCACGGGACTTTCGGACCGGTCTTCTGATAGTTTTAATCTGTTTCGACCTATCGGAGACACGTGTTTCGAGTGTTGTGTGGAAGGACGGCAGGAAGAGCTTGATGCACTGTTACCGGGCCGATTCTGTGTTATCAGCACGCGTGCGTGTGAGCTTGAGATAACAGGGGTTACTGTTTCAGAGTGTCTTTATCTGGGCAAATCTATGTTTTGAAAACTAAAACAATTTTTTTATCAGACTAATTATGGCAAGATGCTTGTGACACTTTTTTGTGTTTTTAAATAAGACTTTTTCAAAATTGGACTTGACTTATTTTTAGCGCTAACTTTGTACTCTTTCTAATGATTTGGGTCCGTCTGTCTGCAGGCCCTGTTCGGAGACATCTCCCAGTTCAAGGTGGTGACGGCGTGGGTGGAGCGTTGCCGCGCCGCCATGGCGGGTTTCGACGACATCGTCACCAAGGGAAACGAAGGCTACAAAGCCGCCTTGAAGTTTATGATGTCTTCCTAAGTGTTTCCGCTATTTTCTGTGATCTTTACCCAAAGAAAGTGCCTCTTCTGCGCTAAAAGTATTACGGTACTCCTTTGATAATTATTTAAAATAAAAGGCTTTGCAAGCTTTACAAGAAAAATGTGTGGAGATGCTTTGACTCGATCGAAAAGCCTGATTGATTGAAAATGCCCATGTTGTCATCAGAGATGAGCCTCGAAATAAAATATCTTTTGTAAAAAAAGCGCAGTACTTTATTAATATATAATACAAATCGAATTATAAATGTCATGCAACATTGGAAGAAACATTGTCTGACAACAGCTGTACACAATCTAACTCACGCTTGGATTCGCCCGAGACAATGCACAGGCCCCTACGACGAGCCGAACTCGGCGATCCACTCCTCGTACTTGGTGACGTCCTCCTGGGGCACGCTCTTCTTGCACTTGGCGATGGCCTCCTCGAAGTCCTGCACGGTCACCGGCAGGTCCACCTCCTCCTTCTTGATCTTCTTGATCTCGTCCGGGCTGCGGCCGCAGATTTTGCGTCGCATGGCCATCATAGCAGCGTCCCTGACAAACAAAATTAAAAAAAAAAGTTTTTTTTTTTAAAGAAAGGGAGGTTGTGCGACGGGAAAGTGGCAGCTACTCACCGGCACACGTTGCTGATGTCCGAGCCCGTGTAGCCCTCCAGCTTGTCGGCGACCGTCTGGTGGTCGAATTCGCTCTCCACCGTCACCCCTTCGAGGCACAGTTTGAGCAGGGCAGTGCGGGTTTCATCTGAAAACAAAAGAAAAATCAGGAACTTTCGAGAGAGGCTCTGAGAGGACGCCCAGTCGTTTGAAACGCACCGTTCGGCAGCGGGATGTACACTCGCTTTTCGAAGCGCCTTCGGAACGCCTCGTCTATGTCCCACGGGTGGTTCGTCGCCCCGAGGACCATGATGACCTTGTCGTCGCCACTGTCGGGCAAAGAAACCGCGTAAGCGCTCAAATAAACTGACCGTTTCGTCAAACAACGAGGTGCCAGCACGGACCTGGTGCAGTTGAGGCCGTCCATCTGGATGAGGAGCTCCGCCTTGAAGCGGCGCGACGCCTCGTGTTCCGAGTCGGTGCCGCGCTGCGAGCACAGCGAGTCCATCTCGTCGATGAAGATGGTGCTGGGCGCGAAGAACCTGGCCTGCGGGGGCAGCGTCGGTCAGCACACCGTCGTTGCCAGTCAGTCTCCCAGGCGATACTCCGCGCGCAAGCGACTCTCATTTCTGAGCAGGCGCGTGGAGTATCGGCGGGCTCGTTTCTTTTGAATGGGATCGCACTGACCATTTCGAAGAGCAGGCGCACCAGCTTCTCCGAGTCGCCGCGGTACTTGGAGGTGAGCGTGGCCGAGGACACGTTGAAGAAGGTGGTGCCGCACTCGGTGGCCACGGCCTTGGCCAGCATGGTCTTGCCCGTGCCGGGCGGGCCCACCATGAGCACGCCCTTCCAAGGCCTCCGGATGCCCTGCAGGGAGACACGTCGGAGACACGGGGTTAGACTCTGGGGAACATCGCCAAGGGCCCTCAGCAGCCCGACGACGAACCTTGAAGAAGTCGGGCATGAGGATGGGCAGCACGACGGCCTCCTGCAGGACGCTCTTGGCGTCCTCCAGGCCCGCTATCCTGGCCCACGTCACGTCGGGGTTGCGCTGCAGGATGTCCTTCTCCAGCGTGTCGACGAGGTGGCCCTCGTAGCCGATGGGGTTGAAGGAGCGCTCCTCCTTCTCGTCGTCCGCGTCGTGGTCCTCCTTCTCGGAGGAGCCCGTCGACGACGTCTTCTTGCTGGGCCGGCGGTGGCGGTGGTGGTGCAGCGCGGCGGAGGCGACGGGGCCCTGGACGGCGGGCCGGGGCCGCGCGGGCCGCGGCAGGCGGTCCACGGACCGGGACTTGCGCGCCACGGAGGGGTGCGAGCTCGACCTGGAGGAGCAGCACACTGGAGTACTCGACGAACAAGGAGAGCAGTCGGCCGAGACGCACGTACCTGCCGCGGAGCGTGCCGATGGCTGGAAGCGCGGGCTGGATCTCCGGGTCCCTCCTCCTCAGGGAGGCGACCCACTTGTCGTTGGCCACGGGCGGGGAGTGGTTGTGGTGGACCTGGTGGACGCCGCCCCTCACGCCGGCCGCCGACTCCGCGGGCCGCTGCATGAACTCTGCGAGCAACAAGGGCTGGGGTTGGCGCGGGGTGTCGACGCGGTGCTGCCGGGGGCGGCGCGCGCGGGGTATCGCCGTACCTGGCTGCTGCTGCTGCGGGGGCGGCGGGGGCGGCGGCTGCGCCCGCATGGGGGCGGCGCTCACGGGGCCCGCAGCCCGGTGGTGCTGGCGGCGGCTCGCCTGCTTCTGGCGGTGGTGCGTCGTGATCTTGGTGAAGGTGAAGGGCGAGAAGGTGTCCATGAGCAGCGAGTCCATCATCCTGGCCACCTGCTGCAGCCCCGTGGAGGGCCCGTGCGCGGAGGGGCTGTTGGCAGAATTATTGCATTTGTTAGTTTCGCAAGAAGGGATGGTTTTCGGAATCATAACTGGTCTTGGTTAAACTGGGCATGGGTGGCGAAGGCTCTTTACTTTGAGGGGTGACTGAAAACATCTTGGCTCAAGCAGCATTCAAGTCTCCCGCTTCTCCGACGCGAGGCAGCCACCCCTACCCCCTCCCCTTCTCCGAAACAACAACTATTGATGAGGTAGCTAGTGAGTGGGTGGGACAGATGGTAGATTTAGCGTAATCGCTCGGGCTGCCCCTGGCGCGACTTTCAAGGCCAAAGACCGAACCGAATTCCAAGGGACTGGCGGTTCCCTTGTGTTTTGCTGCCCTTTTCGAACATCGGGGTGAAAATGGGGTTTTGATCGCTGTGAATGTGAATGTTGGCACCCGATTGAGGCGAAAGGTGAAACAAACGGTTGTCCCTGCTGCCCTTCGGTCGACAATAATCGATTCGCTGAGGCGCTGAGCCGCGCCGTGCCGTGGAGGGGCGCCGTGCGGTGCCGGACCCAGCCGGGTTCATCGCCCCCCGCGGCCGGTCTGTGTGCAGAGGGGGAGGGGAGGGGAGGGGCTGATGGACTCCGTCCACCTCCTGGCCGCCCTGGAGGGGTGGGTAGAAGCGCGGGTTTGGCCGTGACTCATTACAAGGCTATTGCACCCGAGAGACAAAATTCAGTCGTCACCGAGGCGAATGGAACGGCCGTTGTCGTCTCGCCCTGCGCGCAAATGGACAAAGGGTGTTTTTGAGGATATTGAACTCGGCGGCGGCGAAAACCTTGGCGGAGACCAAGCTTCCTTTGGACAAACAAGGAAGGCGGCTCGACGCTCGGTCCGACAGACGGTCCGACAGACGGGGCTGGGGTTGGGGTTGGGCCCTCGCCATTCAAACAGAATGAAGAACGAGCAGACGACGTGCCCCCCCCCCTCCCCCTCCCCCTCCCTTCACCGCCACTCACAGCCCGGCCGACTAATGGATTTCGTCACGGGTGACAGCAAGTCCGCGGGAAGTCCCCTGGCCAGCTGGCCACCCCTACACTGCGCGACGAAGACAACTTTCGTCGAGTTTATTTTCCTTTCACTTTCGAGGTCCATGGCCTATGTCCTCCCCGCTCCTCCACTGGGATCGTCCCTCCGCCGGGTTGCCTCTGGCGGTGCCGCACGTACCACTGTAGGTCCCACATGGAGTGGCAGCCGGAGTGCCGCAGCCTGCTCAGCGGCACCGTCACCTCGTACTCGATCTCCACCTCGGGGTTGGCGGCGCTGGGCGCGCCCGCGGGTGGCGGCGGCGGCGGCTGGTAGGGCTGCGCGTTCTGCGCGTGCTGCGCGTGCGCGTCCAGGCCGTGCTCCTGGTACACGTGCTGCTGCTGGTGGTGGTGATGGTGGTGCAGTGGGAACTGGCCGTGCCTGTCCATCGGCACCCCCATGGCGCTGGCCGCGGTGGCCGCGGTCCGTCACCGAGTGCGCGCGAGGGTGGCCGTCGACGCGGGGGTGGGCATGGCGTTGCGGGGGGCGTCCAGTGTCCGGCACGCAGTCCGGCGGCCGCGGCACGCAGGGCGGCACTGGACGGTCCGCCGCTCCCAGTGGTCAGTGCCGGCCCGGCGGGCGGAGGGTGGTGGGGCAGCAAGGCCGGCGGCAGCGACCGCGCCGACAACCCGACAACCCCCAGGGGGCTGCGCCGCCTGCGCTGTGCCGCCGCCCCCGCACTGTCAATTTCATTTTCCGCCACTTGCGTAGACTGGCGCAAGTCGGCCAGCGACGTCGACGTCGGAACGGAGGATCTCGCCGTGCAAAGACCTCCTCGCCGGGGTGGCGCGGCGCGTCACCGCCGACGCATTGCGCAACACGCTTCCGGGTCGCTTCGAGAGGTCGATTGGAAATCACTTGCCGCTACTACACTGTGGCTTCACAGCCCCTGACTTACGGCCAAGCGCCGGACTGGCCGCACCGCTTGACGCGAGGCTTGACGCCTGCGAACGGTGGATAGGCAAGCCCGCGGCGCACCGGTGCGTCGTTTGCCTACCTGGCAGGCGGTGACCCGTTGGCACGGCCGGCCTCCTTGGTGTACAGCCATGGCAGGAAACCTTCTGGGTCAACGATGCTTTCCAATCAGCGTTCTGCCTCGTACCAACCCGCAAGGCCAAACAAATTGCAGGCTGTGTCTAGGACAGCCAAGCAATCACTTTTTATTTTCGCTTCCTTACATTTTTTTCTTCAAAACGTAGATTTTACTCAGCGCAGTGCAGCCCGAATTCGTAGCTCTCCGTCGCCCCGCCGGCAACCCCCAGCCCTCCCCTCGGTGGGTCAGTGCGCCGCCAAGCAGTTTGTTGCGTGCGAGAACGCCTTCGCCCCTCCCCCGGTTAATGTATGCATACGGGACACCGGCCCCTTCGCACCTACACTCAAAAACGGAACGCTCCCTCGGGGTTCGGAGAGCTTATCCCTTTTGGCTTCGCAAACTTGCAAGTCGGTGCCGCTAAATGTGTTGCTACGCGCACTGAATTTAAAAACGGCCTCGGACTCCGCGCTGACGGCGGATCCGCGCCACAACAGCGACGCTGTTCGTCCGACGCGACTTCTATTCTTGTCCTGACTGCCGCTCTGCACGCCACGGCCAGGCGTCCCGTCCAGCGCGGCCAAAACCCAAAGCGACGCGAGTTGCGGGATTAGAGGGGCGCTTGAGAGATCGCTCTTGATCGCTCCGATGGCGACCCCGTAGAGAGATCGCACGGAAGATAGCCGCTCTGGGGGTTATCGCCGGCGAGGTGACTGGGTTACTAGAGAGGTATACGGTGGTTGGCAAAAATTTTGTCCGGCGATGAAAAGCGAAATGCAGTGCAAGGAGGGTCGTTAGAGAGACGGCTCTACGCTCTGGAGAGCTCTGGAGAGACCGGATGCCCGGATCGCTATCCGAGACGCCGAGACACGAAGCCGAAACGAGGACCGCTTCGGCGAGGGGGCGTCGAGCAGGATGGAGTGGTATGCAAAGGTGGGCGATAACGCCCCCGAGGCCCCCGAGCCCCCGAGCCCCCGAGGCCGTGCGGTAAGGGCCTTGGACAGGGCGCAGCGCGCAGGGCCGCCGCAGGCAGGGCCTCGGACTGCCGCGGACTATCGACCCTACACCGTAATTGCGTCCGCCACAGCCACAGCCTTGGCGAGGCCTTCGCGGAGGCCTTGGGATGGGAGGCGAGATGCTAAAACAGCGGTGTAGTCCCTTTGCTGCGCGATGTGCGTTGCGTGTCCGCTTTCCTGTGCCGCCGAGACACGCTCCTCTTGGCGGCGACTCCGCTTTGCGGCGTGCCGCGCTTCCGGTCGGCGAGAGGGCGTTAAATATTGAGCAGCCGGCCCGGCACGGCGCGCTTCCCATGCGCGTCGTTTTGCCCCAATCTCACATTCACATTTCAAATACTCAAAATAAATACAAAAACGCTCACAACAAACTGTATGCCCACGTATCTTTAAACTCGCGTGGCGCGATAGGCAAACACGAATACTGTCCCCTTGTTGTTGAGGGGTCCTTGGCCCCCGCAGGTTCCAAGCGCGGGGTATTGCTGGGCGCTACCCCGCGCTAAGGGCTGCGTCCCCGCGGCGCTACCCCGCGCCCGCCGGAAAGTCCAAACGGTGCTTGGCCGGCCGGCACCTCGACAATCAATAGAAGGGACCGTCGGACTTGCTCGACGCACCGCCAGACGGCGCTCCGCGACGTCCAGGCTGACGCCGGGGGAACTTGGAAGTTCTTACTGGAGAGTTCGTCGTGCCTGCAGTCTCCGCGTGCGAGGAGATGACAAATCCCGCGAGCTCGGAGTCGTACGGTCTCGGAGTTGCGGTAAACAACCACCCCTGCGCCGCGCCGGACGTGGCGGTGAGTGGGGGGCAGGGCAGGGCAGGGCAGGGCAGGGCAAGGAGGGCAGCAGGGCGGGATGCATGCGGAGCGGGGCGTGCGACTGGCTATGCCGAGGCTATGCTAATCCCACGAAACAATTCCGGCGGCGCAATGCCTCGCCTCGCCCTGGTTTGGAAAACGGTGGCCTACATCACCGCGGCGGCGGCCTGGGCCTGGGCCTGGGCCCGGACAAGCAGGGCTGCATGCTGCATGTCACCGCAGACAAGCGAAGGGCCGAAGGGCGGCCGCGGCCTCCTATTGGCACCTGCCACCGCGCACCGCTCTGTCTCCCTCGCACTCACGGGGCGTGCCGCAGGGGTGCGAGAGAGACGGAACGAGCTCTGCCGGGCCCTGCAGGGGGCGGGGATACATGTGCACCTCGCGGGACGTGGCCAGTTCGATTTTTCATCAATTCACCGTGCACCGTGCAGCGAACCCGCCGGCCCCTCCCCCACCCCTTCCCCCTCTCCTTCGATGAGGCCTCAGCCAGAAGGGCCAAACGGCCAGTCCGCTGTTTCGAAATGTTGAGCTAAGCGGGAATTTAAATGCACGTCGGCTGCGACTGTACTGTTGAGGGGTGTTTTAAAATTTTAAGGACCTGAAATAAATTTCCTTGCAAGCTTAGCTGGACTGATATTTAATTGCAGTCCAGTCGGGAATTCTTCGAAAGCCGCCAACTGTCTGCCTCGCCCCCAAGCAATTTGTAAGCCCCTTTGGCCAGCCACTGCCCTGGGGGAAGCTACCCCTCGCGGCGCCGGCGTCCCCGACCCGCCAAACACAACACAACGCGGGGAGCACAATGCGGGCGGGGTGCGGCGGGCGGGGACGCCGGCGGCGTGGCGGCCGGCCTCAAAACCAAAACACGGTCGGCGTCGGCGTCGCGGCGGTGTGGCGTGGCGGGGCGGACAATGCCGGCGCCGAACTCCGCGATGACGGGCAGCTTGACGACGCCGGGGAGCTGTCGGGGGGGGCGACGCGAGGAGCAACGGCCGGTGGGTGCGTTCGCACCACCGTAACGTGTACGACCTTTTCGATGATTGGAAAAACAACAATAAAAGCAACAACAACCGAACGTGAATTCAGTGGATAATTTGACGACAGTGTACTAGGCCTCTCCGCAGCGGACGGGGTGCTTGCGGAGACAGTGGCAGCAGTGCAGGGCGCGGACGACAGGTACATCAGTGCGGCAGTTGCGGTAGGGCAAGCTTGCGCCCTTTGAGGCGGCCCCGCCCCGCCCCGCCCCCTCGCTCCCTAGAAGCATTAACAATGGACGCGACGCCATCGAAGGGTGGCGGTGCGGCGGTGCCACTGGGGCAGCGGGGCGCCGCGTCTTGGCGCCCTGCCCTTCCGCTTCCGGTCAAGCTGAATGCTTCCCGTGAGTCACTGCCCCAGTGAGGCGACCCGACCGACCCGACCGACCCGCTGACATGCTGTTGCCGAACAAGGGCGGTGCGGAGCGCAACGGGGCCGCCTGAGAAATATGGTCGTCGCCGGGCTGGATCTATGTGGGCCAATCGCGGGGCACGCCCTCCGTTGCCTTCCGTCCTTCGCTGCAGAAAAAGGCATCGGAACGAAATTTGCGGACGAGAGGCGATGTTTGCGAGAGTGCACGTGCGATTAGTGAGGGAGGGGCGCGGCAGTTTCTTGCAGGAGAGGGTGCGGGTCGAACAGGGGCCGACGACACGGAACGGCGGTCGGAAAGCCCCCGTGACCGGCCGGCCAACTTGGCTTGCTCGGCCGCTCGGCCGGGGTAGGACTGCTTCGGAGGAAATGGCGACAATCAAGTTCGGGTGACCCCAATGCGAGCGACGAAACACGCCACGAGTGGCACGCCAGGGAGAAGAAAGACGCCGACGCCGAGCTGCGCCGAGCCCGGCCAATGACTGGCAACCACACGACGCCGACGACCGCCAGCAGAATCCTGTTTCCTTCACAAACCCGAGGTACTCAGATCAGATCAAGCACTCACATAAGGCGGCGGGAAGCGGTTGGTGCCGTGTCACCCATCTGGATGCGCGACCTAGTACCTAGTGTCGTGGGACAGCCCCGGGACGGCTGCGGGGAGCCTCGGCCTCGACGGCCGCTGCGGGTTCGGCGTTGCGCCACCGCGGCGTACTCACGCGAGTGCGGGCAGGAAGGGCTTGCCGCTGAACAGGGCGCCCGCCAGCGGCGTCTGCATCACCACCTGCTCCTCCGTCCTGAACATGCTGTGCCCCATCTTGTCTTCCTCGCGGTCGAAGCGCGCGCGCCGAGGCCTAGAGGGGCCTAGACGGAACGCAGCGCCGGGCAGGCCGCCGTGGCCGCATCCTCACCACGAGTACCCGACGGAGTTCAACGCGGTCACCAGAGGCATCCCGACGACGGCCTCGGCTTTGGTTCGCGAGCGCGAGCACGGCGGGGATGTTCACTGTCTCGAGGTGGTGCCGGCGGACATGGTCCCGCCCCCGGGACTCGCAGTGTGGGGTCCGGTGCAGTGCAGGTACTGCTCGCGGCGGGGCCGTAACGCGCGGAGTGCCGGCTTGGCGTCGAGCGTGGCGGGAGCGAGGTGGCGGCGGGGCTCCGGCGGGGCGCGGCGGGGTACGGCGCCGGGCGGGTGTGGAGGGGCGAGGCGACTCCCCACGGAGTCCGGTGGCGGCCACGTCCTGAAAAGGGGAAAGGGGTCCCCCCCCCTCCACCCCCAACACACCGCTCCCAACGAGGGCTGCTTGTTGCACGCGGGGGTACACGGGAAACGGAGCCAAGTCCGGAGAGGACGCAATCAGCCAGCGATGATGGCTACACTCGAAACGTCGCAGAAAATTAAGCGCAGCGAAGACAGTTGCACACGCTTTCCACTCTTGTCGGGTCTTGCTTCGGTATTTCGTATAAAGTCAAAGTTCGTAAATCCACTGGGAGTCGCTCGCAAAGCGGGTTAATCCCTCCAGCCTACTTATGCAACTCACACTATTTTCTTGCAGAGTGCGTCCCTCTTGGCGCGCTAAACTTGACCCGCACCCCATCCCCCCTGCGTGTTGCGTACGTTGCGGCGTGACCTGAAATGCCGCCGCGAACACCGGAAGTACTTTTCTGTGGCTCAAGCGGCCGACCCCCGGCAGCGCGGCAGCTCGAGGGGCTGAGGGTGAGAAGGCCGGCCCACGGCGCCCACGGCCCTCGTCTGGGTCACTTCGCCTCCCCCCCCCCTTCCCCTCCCTTCTCACCCCAACATGCTGTGCCGGGGTGCACATTGTTATTTACTCCAACTATTAGGAAATCCCCAGTTTCCATCGTCAAAACATTTTTGAACGAGGAAAAAAAAGTAGTAAAGGTATAATCTGCTAAAAACTTTAGGCAAATATTTTTACAGTTGTTTCTTTTTTTCGCAGATATTTAGCAAAATGAGTGACATGAAGAGCAATAAAAATATTAATCTCCACCTCGCAACAAATTAATTTCTCATTTGTGGCGCGGATTTCGATTTCGGTCATTTGGGTTTTATGCCCTGCCCCACCGCCTCGGCCTTCGGCGCGACTATTACATTATTGCCGCCCTCCATGGCTCCGGCGACAAAATCTGGGCGAGGGGTCGTTTCAATGATGGCGGCCTGGGCAGGTCGGCCAAGACGGCACCCCCCCCCCCTGCCCGCCGATCCACGCAATCGGGTCATTATGGGGACTCCGTCAAGCAGACCGCCAGGCCAGGCACCGCGCGATGCCCCCAAGAAGTTTCCCCAGAGTTTCCGCGTTGCTTTCGTGCGGCCGGCCAGTCGGGCTCGTTATGAGTAAACAAAGCCCGGGCCGGGAGGGGAAACCACCTCGGAAACCACGCGGCACTGACCGTACCTCCACCCTGGCGCCTGTCAAGTCCAGGGTAGGCCAGCCCGTCGCCCCGGGGTGTCTCGCTTGGTGGCCTAACCCCGACTTCACAGGCGCTTAGGCACCCGATGGCATTGCCCACCCACCTCTCTCTCGCAGGGGATTCTGTTTTTTTTTTTTGTCCCAGCAAATGCAGTGAATTGTATCAGATTAATTTTTCCCGTGTGTATGTACAGCATTCACATTCCGCGTTGGCCTACTAATAGTCGACCTTGCTGCGGCAGCGTGCGTGGCCTGTGCTGCGGTGATAACGTACCCGCATGGGCCGCCAAGGCCACCTCCCTCCCCACTCCAACCCAAAAGGAAAGAAGAAAGACTTCCCCTGCTCACACTACTGGCCTCCACCTAAGGCGTTAAAATTAATTGGTGTGAAAATAGGGTCAATAAGGAGGAGAGCAAAAAATTTGAATGCAAATATAGTTGTCATGCGTATATTAACATCAGAAAATATACATAAACAGTGGACACAAGATTTTCCAAATATACAAACAAAATAAAAATACCCTTATAACATTTACAAGTTGGTACATGTAATTACAAAATTAAGTTACCCTAATGAACATTTCATGAACGTTAACAAATGATTTGATGTGAGATGCGCAGAGACTATGGTGGTGGGAGGTACGGGGGGCGGTTTGGGGGCGGTATGTGGGTCGGGGGAGGCTGGGACAGCGGCGGCAGGGGCAGCGCCGGGGGCAGAGGCGGCGGCCCGTGCAGCGGGGGCGGCAGGCTGTGGTTGGGCGGCGGCAGTGACGGCGGCAGGTGGGCCGTCGGCGGATGAGACGGCGGCGGGATGTTGGTCGGCGGAAGGCTCGGGGGAGGAATGCTGAGCGTGGGGGGAGGCTGGGAGGGCGTGAAGAAGCCGGCGGGTGGATACGAAGGGGGAAACGATGAGGGGGGGAAGGCCGGCCCTGCAGAGTTGTAACTGCTGTAGTTGATGGTGGACATGTCCAGTTTGTCCAGGGACCTGTCGTTATTTTCTTTCCTCTTCACATGGGGCACACCTGCAAATTTAAACATGCGAAATAAAAATCAAGGTAAGAATAAAGCATTGTTTCAGGTCACTTCTGAAATATTGCACCAGTCGAGGTAATCAATAGTCAAAAAATAAACTAACCTGCAGGTGAATGTGAGTGTTGTGCAGGAGATATTGGCTGAGGGTGGAGCCTGTCCTTTTTCAGGGCAGGCACTGGTGTGTCTTCATAAGGAGGAGAGTCTGGGACTGTGTTTCCTTGAGGATGAGAGTATAAGTCTAATACTTGATGACATATGTCTGCAAAGAAGCAAAATTCTCAGAGTGAAAATTATAATGTAAACCTAAGACTTAATTTCAAGAGAGGAACACTTTCTCACCTTCTAGGAGATCCATGGTAACATCTTCAACAAATACGTCCCACCAGCGTAAGTGCTTTGGAGTACGGCCTTGCCAATCCATAACTTCAAATTTACTCAGCTTTCCCGCAAGGTACATGAGTGCAACTGCAATAACTTCTGGTTCCCATTGGAGGCACAAGGTTGTGCAGAGACTGTAAGAATAAGAAAAAGCATAAGGATTAATTTAATTATAAGAAAAGATTGATAGGTCTGAAAACATTAACTTATTAGACCTCACCTGTCATTGACAAAGGTCCAGGCCATTTGGACCATTTTGCCTAGTTTAGCCTTGTCACCTGTTTTAGTGCCGACAAAATAAATAAAATCATTTTATTGAAAAGAAATTCAGTTCAAATGTGCACCAAACAAAAGGACCTATATTTAAACCAAATTACCTTTTAGACTTTTGGCATATTTCAGTAGGAATCCATAGGGGTGTTCTACTTGAAGATCAAACTTGATAGTTTGTAATAAAATCCTTTCCAGGGTCATTACTTCTTCCTGCAAAGCAAACCTTGTTAATGTTCCCATTTCTCATGTGATACTAGGCAGTGCATAATTTTCTTAACACAACGCACCTTTGGATCCTCTCCAAATTGACGAAACTTTTCATCTGATAGTTTTTCTCGAGCTATTTTAATTATGTCTTTACACTTTTTTGGTGTTTCCTCAACCTTGCCTGCTAAGAAAAGGCAGCAGCAAGCCGTTACCTGAAAGTTAATAGAAGATAGGATGAAAAATTGCACAAGTACAAGTTTTATTGCAACATATGATGAAAATACTTACATATCTAGGAAAGCTTTTGAAGGAATGGGCCATATAAAAGCGGTGAAAATACACAACACCGGTGGCCATTGTGTTGTAGCCAAGATCCATTTTTGTCCCTGTATCAATGATAAATCTGGCACCTTCCTTGCGATAGCGGCTTTCGGTTTCTGCAGTAATGCCATCTTGGAGTGACGGTGAATTCTTGATCTCCTTTTTATCATAATACCAGAAAGGCATTGTGGTACTCCAAGTAGTACCTGCGAAAAGATACATATTTTCTGTCATGTACAGGATGAACAGTAATAAGTCAACACACAATCGGATCACTTTGAGGTTTTTAATATGCTGAACAATGATGTCAAGTTCAAGTCTCATCCCAATGAGGGAAAGGAAAAGATGTCTTTAAAGTCTGTGGCCAGCCGTCCATGAAATCATGACGCCCTACCATTGTTAAAACTACTTCTCGAGTCAGCATCGCCCGTCTCGTCAACCTCCATGGTGGACACTGACGATTCGCCTGGCCTGCGCGAAAGAGCGGCCGCGACGCGGTGTGTCACCGCTGGTACTGCCTTACTGTCTTCCGGACATGGGGCTTGGCAACGGTAGGCCTGAGGGCTCAACTTTGTCCCGGAAGTGTAGTGTCCTTTCTCTGTCGCTCTCACAGACATACTCCAACCCTCCCCTCCTGCCCTACTCGCTCTTTCACGACGACACGAGTCTCGTGGTTCGTCATAGCGGTCTCAACATTACACTTCCGATGAGCAACCTAACCTCAGTACAAACGTCAACAGCATTATGTGCCAACTATTTTGCACTCGTGAAAAACTACTCATGCTTATACTTACGTTGTGTACGGTTAATGGATCACTTTCATGATGTTATTTAATGGAGTAAATGATGCCTTTATTCCCTTTAATGTTGGATTTATTGAGAAGAACATAAATTTGTGATAAATCGCCGCTTTTCTCGAGTCGAGGCACCGCCTTCCATAACGATGCTTTCGTTTTCGTGAGTCAGAAAGCTATTGCCAACTTTGGGAGAACTTAACTCTGGTAGTGTAAATCTCACATCGCAGCACCGTATCATACTCCCTCGATGAATATGCTTCATTTTGTTTCCTGCATATCCGGACATCATCCCTTTCGGTTCTGCCGATGCAAATTATCTGGCGGCTGACCACTGCCGGTTGGTAAAAGTGTTCGCGTAGGTGATGTTGTGGTTGGTACGGCAGCGCGGCAACTGCAGGGAGTTTCGAACCTGTGCGCTGCGCAGTGAGTTGTCGGCCTGGCCGCTAGAGGGAGCCACGCCACCTACAGTGTGAAAGCGAGAGAGGCGGAGAGCTCGGAGAGGGAGTGCGCCCGGAGACAGGCAACCCATCGGGCTTTCGCGTCCGGCGGTAAGCAGATGGCGAGGCGCAGTGGAGCCAACCACCATGCTTTGCGTCGCATGAAATTAAAAGAAAGACGAGTTGACCGTTTGTAAACACTGGCGGAGCCTCTATCATTTACAACCCGAACCGCCTATCGCGTTGTGAGTATCTGCGTTGCGTCTTCCGTTGCATTTTCCCATTCTCAGCGTTGCGGGTGGCGGGAGGTGTGGCATTAAAACAAACTATGGACGGGAAGACGAGGATAAACGCGCCGCTCATCGTCACGTGACGACAGCAGTCCGCGAAGCACGAACGCCGAGAAAAAGATAGGCATCTTATCACCACCCTCGGTCGTGCATATTACGGTGGCGCGGCGTTGGGCAGCGAAAATAATTAGCCAGGTGTCTTCTGGCTTCTCACAGGCCGATCGCGCGGCCGTTGCGTTGATCGCGAGCCCGTTTCGTGGCTGCCTCGTTGCTCTCGTGCTCTGCCTCTCTCGCACCCACGGGGCCTGGCGTACCCCTGCGTGGGGGTGCGAGAGAGACAGCGAGTGAGCATGCTTGCGATGGCGCTTGGCGCTTTGAGCCAAAGCCAGTGCGGCAGTGCGGCGTACTCCACTCCGTGCTAGTACTCCCGCGGTGGCAATGGCTCTAACGAGGAAGCTTGTTGGGGCGAGACAATGCCGACGTGGCGTCACCGCCGAAAACGATTGGATCTGCGGGGCGAACAGTGTCCCCCGAAGGCCCGAAAGCATTGCCGGCCCGGAGAGGCGGAAACTAGACGGCGATGCAGCGTCATCCCGAAAGCGCGTTCGCGCCCCGGGTTCGAGGTTCGAGGGTTCGAGTACCGGCAGCGGCCGGGAGGCGCCTGGCTCATTTTCCCCCCGGCGCGTCCTCAAACAGAGCGAGGCACGCGCTGTGCGTGGTGCATGCACCGAGGGCCACGCGCCGCGGTGACATCCAGGTGACATCCTCGCCGTGCCTCTCTCGCACTCACGCAGTGTTGCGCAGCGGTGCGAGGGTGCGACAGAGAGCACTGTTTGGCATGGAGCTGCTGAGGAGACGTCGCCGGCGTCCGGACCCCACTTAACCCATTTCCCTTTCTGCCTCTCTCGGCCAGGGCACCGCCAGGGCCTAGGCCAGGCCTCCCACTGCACTGGAAGGGCTGTAACGGATCGCGATGACGCTCCAGTTGCAGTGCAGACGACACGGGACGTGTGGCGTGTGGCCGTGGCGCGTGTGCCATGGGGCCACCGTCGCCCTGTCTCTCTCGCACTCACGGGGTGGCCCCCGGCTGTTGCTCCAGTGTACCTGTTACTCGCAGCGCCGCTGTGCCGCTGTTGCGCCTCGCGCGCCATCTGCCTCGCATCCTGGCCGCCTCCAAGACCCCCCTGTGCCCCGTGGAGTACGCGCCATACGCATCCAGGCCGCCCGCCCGCTTGGGCCTCGGCGTGGACCGTGGACCGTGGAGCCCCATTCCCCCATTTTTGTGCCAAATCGGTTCGCCTTTATTCGTTCCAGCCTTGCACGGCCCTGGATCAGAAAAGAATGGCGACCACGTTTCGAAAGGGTCGGGCGCGTTCTTGTCGCGTAAGGGCGCTACTGTTCGGTCTGCCAGAGTGACCGGCTATGACCGGCCGGCCGGCCAGGGCCGAAGCCACCGCCCCACCGGTCTTCTGGCCCACTGTGCGCCGAAGCGACAAAGAAAGTGCGCCACTGGTGGCGGCCGGGTAAAGTGGTCAATCGGCGACGCCACTGACCACGTTGCGTCAGCACACTGCGCAGCACCGCGAGGACGAGGAGCCCCGCTGGCGGTGACATTAGGAACGAGCCCCACAGGTCGCCGCCGCAAAGCGCGCAAAGGCCGCAAACCGCGGATTCACAGACGGCAAAGGCCCGGAAGTGCTCTCGTCCCGTCTCGCTCGCACTCATGGGGCGTCAGCGGGGGTGCGACGGAGACAGGCGGCTTGGGCGGCGGCCGTAAATCGCCGTGAAGTAATCTCGACTCGGTTGCTTATTTTCGAAATGTCTCGCGTCGCGCTGTCGCGCTTCGCTCCCGACGGCGCTTGACCCAGTGCCCCGTCCACGCTGCAGACTGCAGCAGCGCACTGCGTGAGGACCGCGAGGACCCACCTTGACCCGCGGCTGCCAGCCCCGCCAGCCCCGCCGGGCCGCGGCCTGGAGGTCCTGGAGGGACGCCCGCTGCGCCGTCATGCACCTTTATTATTGATCGATCGCTATGCAACAGGTGGGCCCTGGGCCAGGCCATCAGACTGCCGCCCTGCTCCGCCCTGCCCGGTCCCTGTCAATCCGGCCTTGCGAAGTCAAGCCCAAGCCGAACGCAGCGCGCTCTCCACCGTGGAATGCAACGCGCCACTTTGGGCGAAAGTGAAAGAATGCCGCTTTTTGGTTTCTGGTGGCGTGGCGGACTGTCGTTGGCTCGGTGCAGCCACAGTTCCCAGGGCTTGGACGGACGCGCGGCCGTTGTCGTGTTTCATTTCCAGTGAAGTGTTTTTCATCTCACACCTGCCGTTTAGAAATCATGTCGTTCCGAGCAAGCTCGCCCTCCGATTGGGACCACTCCCGTGTAAATTTGAGCAGTTTCTCAAAACCTAATAAATTGGTGTTTTTTTCCTGCTGCGCGTGCTCTACAGAATTCTCCGCGGGGACTCACAATGATTTAAAACCCTTTTCCTCGGCGACCTTTGCGGCGCTGGCGGCACTCTGGCGGCACACTGGAGGCGCATTCGTGCATTCGCCGAACGCCACCAAGCTGCTGCACTGCGTGGACTGAACCCGGAGTCCGGCCGAGGATCGCGCCGTCGCCCTGTCTCTGTCGCACTCACGGGGCCGCCCGTAGAGTACCGCAGGGGAGCGAGAGAGACAGAGCGACAAGTGTTCGGAACGAGGTAAGGAATGCCGCGCCGCGGTGCACACTGGCGTCGCGACCCGCCGACCCTCGCGCCGACCCTCGCGCCGACCCGATCCGAGGTGACGAAACGCAGCGGCAGCGCAGCGGCGAAACCCTGCAGAGGCAGGCAGAGGCCGCCAGCGGGGCGTTGCGCCGTCCACGCCGTCAACGCCGTCCGGGCCGAGTCGTCGATCACGGCCACGATTGCGTCCGGCAGCACCGCGACCACCGCGACGCACCGCGATGACGGGTGTCGCCCTGTCCTCTCGAACTCTGACCGGGAAGCTGGGGCGCTGGGGACTGCAGTTCGTCCACCAGTGTAAAATGCAGAGGAGGTTGAAGTTTGGCGCCGGGTGGTTTCGAACCGCGTCCACGTCGTTTTGAGCTGGACGCAGTCATTACGTTGAGCCTTGGTCGTGGCCGACTGACTCCCGAGTAGTACTCCGCCGGGCAAGTCCGCCAAGGAGGTCGAACGCCTTCCTGGCGTGCGTCAACCCGGCTCTGCAGCAGGCTGACTCCGAACTCTGTCTCTCTCGCACTCATCGGCCGTTCCGTAGGGGTGCGAGAGAGACGACTGTTGCACGGCCTGGCTGGAGTGCATTCAAGCCCATCTCCCTACCGCGTCACGCGACACTCGCCGGCAAAGGGCGCGACGTGACTGCGTGACCTTGGCGGTGCACTGCAAGGCGACTGCAAGGTCACGGAGGGCGTTGGCAACGTCTGTCCCTCTCGCACTCGTGGGCGGCCGCGTTGCCGCGCTCGAGACGGCGCCATTGCAATTCCAGACCGGCCCGCGTGAGAAACACGGAACAGCGTGGAGCACCGCACCGCCCACGAAGAAGCGCAAGCCAGCGAAGCTAGCGCAAGCGACGCCCTGTCGGGGAGCGTCCGAGAACCGCGTCGTGGGTTTGGCACCTGCGTCCCCCGACGGGGCCCCGACGGGGTGGCGGTGAAGTAGGGCAGGTAGCTCGCAGACGGCCCCTTACCTGGCTGGGACGCTATCCAGGCTAGGGGAGGGGAGGGGGCGTAACTAATACCTGGCGTCGTTCTTTGTCTCAGCCAGGCTGCCATAGGCTGCCAGGTACAATTGGCACCTTACCGACCGGTTGGTGTCAACAGCGCGACTAGCGACATACTTGCCGATTGTGTGGTGAGCACACTGTAGCACACTCGGGGGTCATTGGCACAATGGCACGGCCGCTTCGCGAATGCTCCGATTCACCTGCGACTCGTTTCGGATTTCGGAATTTTATTTTGGCGGATGTCTCCTAGAGGTCTGCTGAGGCCTAACAGCGCTGACGATGTCTCCTCGCGGTCTTACGGCCCCTGGTGACCCACTGCAACCGGCCACGTTCGGGAAACGTGCTTTCCACGGTATACGTACGAAAAGAGAGCGAGAGCGAAATCCGAGGTCCTGGTTTCGTAGAACCGTCGCGCGCGCACCGTGGGTTAGCTCGCCCCTCCCCTCCCCTCCCCGGCCTGCGCCCTGCCTGCAGCTGGCTGGAGCGGTGTGGCTGGTTCGGCTGCTGCCTGGCCGCCTGGCCGCCACCCCGGGTAGTGCTGCCAGCGCGGGCTGCCCGCTCCCCCCGCCGAGCCCCCGCCCCGCCCCGTCCCCTCCGCGCGCCGCGGCGTGCACTTTGTTTTTCTTGTTTCCCCACGGCCAGCCGGTGGCTTCGCTGCGCGCTGCACTGCGAGACGCGCCGACCCTAACCTCAAAACTGGCGCTTTCGCCGCTGTTTTCTGCGCGGCCCCGGCGCCCCGTGCGTTCGCGAGTGGATTTTCGAGTGTGGGGCGGCCGGCCTCAGCGCCGCGAGTGACTTGGCAGTGCCCTGGCGACGCGGAGGCCGCGTCCTGGACGTCTTTGTGCCGGACCAGACCCTTCTTCTGCTGTGGATCCGCGACCGCGGAAGCGCGACTTGAGGTGAGAAAAGCTTCCCCGCTGTCCAGTTTCGCCGTGTACCGAGTCGCCCCAGACCGGCCCCGCTGCCGCAGTGTTCCGAAGTTCCGTTCGCGTTGTTTACAAAAGTGCCAATGTTTTGTTTTATTTGCCGGTGTTGGTACCGCCGCGGTTGGTAAACATGGCGCTCGAGCGGCGCGAAGCGCGCGCAACATTCAAACCGGTCTGCTCGCCAGCGGGGGCAGGGAGTGGGGCTGCTGGGCAAACAGCTGTCAGTGTGTTTATTTTTTGAGGCGATTCTTGAAATTGAAACAGTTGACTTCTTTTTGATCGTGAGAAGGAGGGGAGCAAAACTTTGTTATTCGAATATTTTTTTCCATCTTTCCTAAAATTATAATGAAACAAAACGTCATGTCGAGAGAATTGACCACCTGAAGCGTTGATTTTAATATCAAATTATTAAGAGCCGTTCCCAAAAAGCTCCTTAATGTTTTTTTTTAAATTTTTCTTCTTTTCTATTTGAAAATTAAAACCTGTGATGTCATCATCTTTTCCGTACGTAACTCCCGCTCACCCTCGAGGCGGTCAAGACTCACGTGGAAGGATTCGCGCGCTGAGAACGTTCAGGCCGAGTGAGTGGGACACCTTGGCTCGGTGACCCCGGAGCTTGGTTCTTCGGCCCCTTTGGCCCCCGACTCCGGTTGAGTGTAGCCTGAAGCACGCCGGCAGACCCGGCAGGCCCGGCAGGTGTTTCCGGGCGTCCCGGACGCTCGGGGGCTGGCGGCGGCGCCGGCCGGGCCGTGGAGGCCGTGACCGTGCCAAACGGCCGGACTTGGCGGGCCCGGAATGAATCATCCTCCGGGGGTTCACGCCCCCTCACACACACCTACTCATTCTCGCTCACACACACACGCACTCACACGACCAACACACCCGCGCGCGCGCTAAACAAACTCCAAACTAATAACTTGCGGTTAGGGACGTTTTCACGCACGTAGATTCTCATTTCCCCCGATTACTGAATGATTTGACCTCCGCCTCCCGGCATGGTGCTGCTTGACCTTGAGCTTGACCTCGGCCGCCTTGGCCGCACGGAAGCAAGGCGTGGATGGGCCCGGCCCCCTCCCCCGCGCCGATACTCCACGCCCGTCCTCGCCACCCACTGCGACGTGACCAATGCCAAATTGCCGCCCGCCGGACGGAACATTGTTTTATTATTTTATTATTTTACACTGTGCGTGCGTGCGTTGGGTCGGCGCCGCACCAAATACCTAGCGGGTCGCCGCGTGCCCCAATGATACCGGCCGCCACCACACTGGGCACGACTAGACACGACTCGATACACTGAGAACTAGATCACCCTAGTGGAGTCCCACTGGCCCGGTCGGCGGGGCCGGGTCCATCGGTGCGGCGATACTCCCCGCGCCCTGCTCGGGGTAACTCCCCCGGCACTCGCGGCACTCGCTCGGTACTCCCGGGGTACTCGTCGCGCCGATTCGAACCGCAATGTGTCGATGCGCCGCATTGCGCCGCCGCCGGCCGTGCACGGAACCGCAATGTGCGCGCGGTGGACGGCCAGAGCGGCCGGAGCGGCACTGCGGCATGCACGCGCTTGTAAATTAGGAATTCAGTCCCGAGCGACTCTTGAACAGGCTGGCCGGCCGCGGGCACGCTGGTGCTTATCCCTTTGAGCGTTTGTGTGTGTGTGTGTGCGTGTGTGTGTGTGTGTTCACATAACCGCGCGGTAAGGGCGTGTCCGAGCGACGCAGTTTGGTGTTATTTAACGCGAGGATGATGCATTTGTCCGCCGTGCCGTGCCGAGCCGTGCCGTCCTGAGCCGCCCGCGGGTCAGGGTGCATGCATTCATGATGCTAATGGACTTGGCAAGAAAGAAATTATCCAGTGCAGTGATTGTATCTCAAGTGTGGAGCGTGGAAAGTGTTTACCCTGGCCCATTCAGCTCTGAAGCGATATTTGTTAGAGAAATTGCGTTTTTTTTGGCAATTTATTTTTCAAATTTTTATTTAAATTTTGGTTGGTGTAATGGACATTTTAATTTTCCAAAGTGTCTCCAGTTCTTGTAAAAATGTTTGTAACGTCCACCGTCTAGTATTGAGATTCCGCCTGTCTGTCTGAATGGACCTGCCGGATGGATTTTCAGCACTGCGTTCCCTGCTCTCTCCTTTTTCCGGTGTACCGGCGGGAGGGTTGCCCGTGGGCAGTGCACTGCTGGCTGCCGCGTAGCCCAGTGCAGCCCGGCGCAGCGGCAACACGGCGGTTCGATAATAAAATGATGCACCCGGTCTCCTTGAAGCCTCGAAGAGCCTCGAAGCCTTGAGACTCGGAATGCCGCTCCAGTTTGCCGGGCCGCCCTCCTCGGCCTCGCCTCGCAGTGTCGCGGCGCCGCGCGTGACAGACGCGTGACGGAGACGTGACGCGCCACACAGTGTGCCACACAGTGTGCCACACACGTCACTCGCGCGTCACTCCCACACTCCGCACGAGGGTGCTTGACCTCCGCAACGCGGCGCCGCCACAGTGGGCCAGAAGAACGGTGGAGGCGGCCGACACTCTAGACGCGTTTTGAGCTCCAGAGTCGCTAAATGGGACTCGAACCGGACGTGTGACCCCGCCAATGGATTCCTCGTTCGGAGAGCAATTCATTGGTGGGGTCACACGTTCGGTTCGAGTCCCATTTAGCGACTCTGGAGCTCAAAACGCGTCTTGAGTGTCGGCCGCCTCTACCGGCCTTCTGGCCCACTGTGCGCGGCCCAGCCGGCCCCTTGAACTTCAAACGTCGCCCCCGACAGGTCGCCGCCAAAAATACTCGCGGACGGGCTGTGCGACTGCGCAGTGCGCCCGGCTGATTGAAGAATGCGTTTAATTCGTAATTTATTTCTGATTTATTATGCGTTTGGTGCGCGGGGCGGGGTGGGGCGTGGCTGGGGGCACCTTGAGACACATTCCGACCGTATCGAATATCCAGACGGCTTCTCCAGGGGCCGATCCAGCAGGCGGCGTTGGACCGTGTGGGTGCGAGAGAGACGCTGTGGCTCGGCCTCCAGCGCGGCTCCAGGCCGATGCTGGAGAACACTGACCTGGCCGTTGCACGTCGTGGATGGGCCCCGAGCCGAATGAGCGGTGAGCGGCAGATCATACGCATTAGCAGCAGACGCTGCCGATTTTTGGCAGTCATTTCGCGTTTCGCGATGCGATTGAGATACCAGCCGAGGGAACTTTTTCAAAGGTTTAAATTCGTTTAAATTTAATTTTGACTCTGTGGCACTCCCGACGCGAATACAAGCAGACGACAAGTTTTTCGTTTCCCCATAGAGAATTTGAGAAATTGATGACGAATGGATTTGAGTCGGTTTGCCGCGCCTCGTATATTTTTTTTTGCGGTGTGTGTAATTGTCGCTCGCCAAAGCTGCCGTGTTGTTGGCTTCGCCAGGGCTTCGCCTTGGCTCCGCGGGGACAGCGTCGCGCTGAAAGATGTTTCCTGCTGAAGGCCGTGGCCATGCTGGAGCCTCGCTGGAGTCTGGCTGGAGCGCAGTCCAGCGGCTGGACATTACAAGCCGAGGATTTGTTGGGCCGCGAGGGTCGCCAGGGATTGGCTGGATTTATGGAGTAAAGGACTTTGTGATGGATGCCCGAGGCCTTGCCGGGCCTTGCGAGGCGGCGGGATGGTGATGACTGCCGTGAGGCTGAACACAGCGCGAGGGAGTGCTCCCCCAGTGCTCAGTGCCACCCCAGCCTGCACCAGCCTGGGACTTGGACTCTGTGGTTTCCATCGCTATCGAACATTCGTCCGGCTCCGGACCAAGTCCTGGACCAAGTCCCGCTTCACGCGGCCTGCTCCAGTTCTAGCACCACCACTGGAAGTGCTGGAAGCGCTGGAAGCAGCATAAAGAATGACGGACACTAAAAGACCAGGGGCAGCGGGACGCCAAAGGAAAGATGTGAAAAAAAAATATCCATCAGAAGTCGTCTGCTTCTCCTCTCCTTTGAAGTATGGAACGGGGAAATTATATCGACGGTCATTAAGAAGAGTATTAAATAAATGAGAAGCATGTCTGGAGGCGTGTCTGGTTGGCCCGTCCTATCACGTCTTCTGCTTTGGGCGCGGCGGCGGCGTGCCCTACACCGGGAAAAATAAGAAATGTGGTCGATTCGCGCTGAGAGTTCAGTCACCCTGCTGGGTGCTTGCGGCGACGTTTGATGTCTTCCCTCCGCGAGCGTGGCGCCGCCACTTTCTAGTGGAGTGTCCAAAACAGAGTCGAGTCGTGCCAGCATGTATGTATTTCTGGGCCGGAAAGCAGTCAGTTTGCGTGTCACCAAGTGACCGGTGGTCAACGCGCGGGCACGTGGTGGTGATCCATGGTGATCCATGGTGACGCATGGTGCTCTTGTGGGAAGGCAACCCCTTTTGTGACGTCATGGTGGTCCGCGGAGGCTAGTGGTCGCGGCTACCATCGAGCTAATCAAGGCTGCATCGGTTCGTCACAGACCGCGGCCGGTTCGGAGTAATCTGGCTTCGTTTCTTTTCTTTCCCCTTTCCGGCGAGCGCTACCGCACTGTAACGACCCTGTGACGAGGACGGCCCGAGACGGCCCATAATTTTGGACAAGTGTTTTGGATGCACCCGGCTAGCATCTCGTTCGGCTCCATGTGTGGTCTGCGCGCACTCACACACATGCCGTGTGTGCACTGCTGACGACATGTTTTAATTATCTCCCTCGGCGTTCGTCCTAGCAGCAGAGAAATGGGGGACATTTGCATGGCGTGCACCGCCGCGATGATGCACTCGACCGCGTTGCAGCCGATTTGCTTAAGGCGCTCTCACACCTCTTCATTGTTTTTTTTTGTTTCCTCGCGTTTCCGCACGGCGCTGCATTTTTGGTGGGAGAGGCCGGGGCGTGCACAATGGCATCGCGGGGCCCTTGCGGCGCCTTGGGGGCCCTTTGGGTTGCGTAAGGGCGGGTGCGATTTAAATAATGAGTCATTGCGACAAGGGATAGCCGTGG